AGTCTATGTGTACGGAGTGGCAATTATAGCTACGTTAAGAAAATAAACACGTGTTTTGTGTGGGAGTGCTGAGATTTGTGAGTGATCAACATCCCCGGGTGATCAACATCCCGGTCAGCTAGCTTAACCAAAAGACATGACGAATGTAGGGTAGAAATTTGACAGTGTCATATTCCCGATGATTATCATGTAGCCGCTCATTAAAGGATATAACCTCCAATTGGAAAATGCAATTTGTAACGCTTGTTTGTGACTGATCGTGAATTCGTCGTCGTTCCGGCTGGTGATACCGTCCGCAGCAAGTCGATCGTAGGCGAGTGTCCGCTCTTCCGTAGAGAGTCGTTTCGAGGTGAGGGGGTAGTCGAGTAGAATAAATGGTACAGGGAATGCTGCCGCGACAGTGATGACCCCTTCGACGATATATAACCAACGCCAGCCCTCGATGCCACGAGAACCATCTAGGCCTCCAGTGATTGAGCCAGCGAGGATACTGCCTACAGCTCCAGAGAAAATTCCTGCACTGTGGAAAGCGAGAAAACGTTTCGACTGTTCGCCTCTGCGGTACCAACTAGACACTATGAACATTACTGCAGGCTAGAATAGTGTTAGAAACGGGACAACTTCAGCAGTTCCACCGTCGTTACTCACACTAAATCCTGCCTCGGCAACATCCAGGAGAAATCGGAGACCGACAAGCTGTTGCCAGGTCTGAGCACAAGCCATGATTGCACAAACAGATCCCCACAAAACCATGATGACTGGTATGAAGATCGATGGTCGTGATCTCGACAGGATCATGTTGCAAGGAATCTCTGCGATAACGTAGCCGATCTGGAATGCAACAACGCAGAGATAGTAACGGCGATCATCAATCTCTAGGTCGGTTCCCATACCAGCGACTCGAGCGTTTGCTAGATTCGATCGATCCTTGACCACGTTCAGTTATCTCTCAGATGGGGAATAAAGTATACTTACCATATAGGAGAGGAGGTAGACAACCCAGATAAATGGTAGCAGAAACAGGTCGATCTTGTGGACGAGCTTGCGTTCTGCTGCCGTATTCTCTTCATAGCCGTTCTCGTGCATTGTTTCCTTGGATGCTGCTTCCTTGGAGCCTTCGTAGTCTTCGATCCTGCTTTCGTGCAGTTTCAAGTCTACAAAATTTCGATTAGACATGATGCTTTCAGAAGATGAAATCAAAGTTGCGTGGCAGGTCTCAGAACGATGTCGAGATAGTGAAACCTCGGTGAGTAGAGATGCTGATCTACAAATAGATAGAGGCAAGTTTATACCATTCGTTTTCCTTTGAGTGGAGAAGAGCAGATTTCGTGGGGACCCCGCATTTCATGCACCCCGTAGCCCCAAATCTAGCGACAGCGGTGGCGAGATTCACGTCCGGACTTCTCGGCCGATGACGGGACGGGTTCGCCGACGGTCTAAAGACGCCCTTCCCAGTTTTCGAGATCAGCAATTCCTTCAAATCCACGCTCGAGACGAGGTATCTAAGAACTCAAGGACTCTTACTTCCACTCTTCCCTCATTAGCTAGGTGGTGCACTAGCAAGCGGTGACCATGGAGGTCATCGTTGTACGAATGTAAGCCAAGACCGTGCCCCATCTAAGCTCTGCTAGGGGAGTTTCAAAAAAAAACCCCATTTATTTTCAGGAAAAAGAAATACGTGGAGCTGGGCGAATGGATCGGTTGAAAGGGCCGATGAGTCCTCAGCTCGCCAAGAAGTAATGACCGTTGGTGAAAGCAAAGACGTACTCCAGGTCGTTTCGTTCATTGATTACATATCGTACTACCGGTAGGGAGTCTCTAAAGAAAGATAGATATTGTTTTTATGTGGAACTCAAGCAAGTCTCTACGCCTGCTGCTAAAGATTCGCGTTGGTATTGCAGTCAACAGAGTCGTAATGGCCGTTGAAGTTGAGCAAGATAGGAGTCCGCGAAGTTGTGAGAAGTGTAGTCTTCACATGTCTTCTGACCGTCTTTACTGTTGCTTCGGTTGAACGAGTCGCGGGTGCATGGGGCGCCTTTTGCGGCACATCAATATCGTCCTTCATATCAAGCGTATGCTAGTTCCTTTTCGAGTTCTTACAGCGACACATGATCTGTGTGTCAAGAGCAGCTGCTTGGGTTATGAACACGTCGTAAAGGTCGTATCCCCAGCGTAATCACATTTTATAAAGATCAGTCTGAACGGTCGCTACATACCTAATTACAGATGAACATAGTGTCAATCAAGAGTTCCAATGTCTAACCATACAAATCATGAAAGTCACCAAGACAGCCATAACTATAGAGGCAAGAGATTTTTGATATAATGAAGGGGTGATAAAGTTGATAAACAAAGGATTGTAGAGGCTCTACATTACTGGCTTATTACACAAAACTTCCTAAGCGTAGCCCAAGTCCTTGTACGAGAATACAGCTTCTGAACATGAATGAGCAAGTTTTCTAGTCGTGAAGATCTCGCGCCAGAGTCACTGAAGGCCTTTCCACTCTATATATCATCTTTGCCGTGTTGAAATAACCTTCGTACTCAATCTCATCTTGCGATCCTTCGATGTCGTGGTGGTAGTGACCTCCAGAATTGTTGCCCTTTGGAGAAAAGCAGTGTGTATGCTCAAGTCGTAAACCCATTGCCTGTTCTGGATCCGCTGAATGCAGGACCGACAAACAAACCATAGGACTATCGAAGTCATGGTATGTCAGCCAGTCATTGAGTTGCTTGGGGTCCTTGAATGGTAGCTCCGCTACCGAGGGGAAGTCCGGCATGATGTGGTAATTTGTGCGTCCTGACTTTACGATAAACGCTCCACCTAGACTGACCGTCTGGTTGTCACCATAGGCCGTTTTGAGGCCCTTCCGTATACACTGCGTGAAACTGCTTTCGGGCCCTCTTCGTTTGCGAGCAGTAATCTTGAGCACGGGCCCGGTCTTACCTTCAGAGCCGAAGAGATTAATCATTAGTGCGCAGTCCAGAGTAGGACTCTTTTCCACTCTGGGCGCTCCGGTGTCCTTGTCGATCCTAGCGAGGTGTGATTGGTTGTCGATATCGCCGAAGCCTTTGCCCCAGCTGAAATTAGGGGCGAGCTCGCAATTTCCACCGACCTGATGGAAAGGTCCAGCTCCAGCACCAATGATGCTACCTTTGTCAAGATCCATCTCCATCGCCTTGGCGAGATCCTTCATGCTCCATATCGTGTCGAGTTGAGGGCTGGGAAATAGGTTCGGCTGGCCTCCAACGTCCGAGATTTTCTCGTTACCCGACAGACCAGCTGTTGCCAGGTTGAAAGGTGCTGTGCGAAGATCGGGGCACTCAACGACGCTGATGACTGTATGCTCATAGTTGGCAGCCAAAGGCGCTTCGAGAACCTTGACAAGCTCTTCGAGGCTTGGAGGTGACAGTGGGTATCTTTCGGTACGCATCGTTCGGTGTAGTCTCAGAGATGAACGCCACCTCTCGTCTTGGTGATTTAGAAAATGTAATCGGCGGTTCTGCGAAGAATTGAACACATAAACTAGGTGGATATATGATCGCAAGCGGGCTGAAACTCTTATCATCGGCTTGTCCTGATATTCGGTACATTCATTGAAGGAAAGCGTTTATATCGATGTCATTCTGGTACGAACGCAGCTAGTTCAATGGCCGACCCGGCGCGGAAAATTAACTCCGGCGTTTGACCGCGATGACGGCCGACTCGACCGGCGCTAGCACCATCCACTCCGCAATCCATCACCCATCGACATTTACTCCGCACTCGCTAGTCTCGATGCGAGTATTGCTCGATTCCGCAGATCTTAAGGGAAATCAGATCTTTCCCGCTCATAGAAACTGAGAGCAGTATGTTATTTAAGCCTAAGCTGTAAGCGATTTCAGGGTTCAAACAAACAACTATTTCTGCGGCTCAGGTACCCACCGTGCACCTATTGTATCAAACTTTATATCATCTACCATGTCCCTCACAGCACCACCAGTACCTGAGGTCTTTCCGATCTACTCTGACCTCAAGGGCAAAGTCGCTCTCATCACAGGTATCGGACAAGTGGGACCCCGAGATAGCCCTTTTTGGGGTAACGGTGCCGCCATCGCACGCCTACTCTTTCGCAACGGCGTGAGCATCTTCGGTTGCGATTTGAACAAAGACGCCGCGGAAAGGACTAAGGAACGCATTCTCGAAGAAACTGGAGATGCGGTCGTCGATGTTGTCGCAGCTGATGTTACGATATCATCGGATGTTGAAGCATTAGTTGCAGCCGTAATGGCACGACACAACAGAATCGATATCCTCATCAACAACGTTGGCCAGACGACCTCTGGTAACCCGGCCACCATGTCAGAAACCATATGGACACGCCAGATCGACGTTAATTTGACATCCGTATACCGGCTGTGTCACCATGTCCTTCCTATCATGCAGAAACAAGGCTCAGGCAATATTGTTAATAATGCTAGTATCACTGCGCTGCGCTACATTGGAAAGCATCAAATCGCGTACGCATCTGCAAAAGCCGGTGTTGTAAGGTTCACGAAGGCTTTGGGTGTCATGTATGGCAAGGACAACATCAGGTGTAATTGCGTAGTCCCAGGCCTTATGTACACTCCTTTGGTTGACAATTTCGCTAAAAGCAAAGACGACGGAGATCAGGAAGCTGCTAGAAGGATACTAGATCATAACTGTCCAATGGGATGGATGGGGACGGGGATGGATGTTGCGAATGCGGTCGCATGGCTGAATAGTGCTGCAAGCCGTTATGTGACCTCGCACGAGCTTGTTGTAGATGGAGGTATCACGGAAAGTACTGGCACTGGATTTGTATCTCAGCTATAGTGTTTCACCATAATACTCACCAATTCACCGCATATCTTCGTGGCTCTCGCGAACTGTGTCTTTCTTCAGATCTGGACGCTAGACTAGAGTCGGGCGCCATTCGTATAGTGGAAATGACTAGATGGTTTGTGATCACCAACCAGAAGCCATGCAGACAATAGACAAATTGATTATTGATCCAGCAGCGCGTCATGACCTTACTCAAGTTTCTTCTGCAGGCATGATTCAGTACTGCTTGAGGGCTCGTTTTGTTATTTCATGCTCAGTCGCGCACGTAGGGTATGGTTTTTAGTATTTGTGCTATCAGATCTTCACGATATTGACTATAATAGTTTGTTCAATATTATAGGCGTAACTTAGTCTCTTTTGTACGGTTTCAAAAACACACTTGCCGAAGCAGAATATGGATGGCGTTCTTTTCCAGCTCTTTGAATTCATCTTTGTTAAAAAGTGCCCAAGTGATGATCCCGGACACACGGCAGTCGGTTGCAGCCGGAACATGGCAGACACGGGGAAAAGACCTAGCGTCGGCCGACTTGTGCGGGCGACAGAACCTCAGAGCGCTTACGCCCTCCACGTCCTCGTGAATTCACCAATACAATCGCACGGAGAGGAATCTATTGCAAGATGGGATGACTGATTGTGGCGTTCGACGTAGGCAAGCTTTGCGGGGAACCCCTCATGAGTGGCGACTCCACATGCACACAAGAGACCGCTGCGATGGACGCTTTGGCTATTTTAAGCTACGACTGAACAGATCGTATCGAGCTGTTACCTTCAGTAACAATTCGCCCTTCTTCAACATAGATGCTATGCCGTCAGTATCGCGAGGTTTGAGAACTTCGACAGGCTGGTAAGTCCTTCACACTCCACCAGTCGATGCGAGACAGAGGTCTGCTTCTTTTCCAACACAAGTGCGGATCACAAGTTGTCCCCCCGAATTCCCTAGATTTCCTTTATCTATCCATAAGATTCTGATCGGCTGCAGCTCAACGTGTCGTAAGAGGCGCGTCAAATGCGATGAGACCCGCCCCATCTGCCAGAATTGCACCAGAGTAAACCGTCAGTGCAAGTTTGTGGAGAAGCACAATGCAACTTCCAGGTTACAAAGACCTAATACTTGTGCTATCATCCGTCCTCGAACGATATCAGAGTCTTCCCTATCACCAGCCTACGACCAGGGAGATCTTGGTGTTCTCAACTGTGGTGGCATACCAACTCCGGAGGATGAGCCACTATCGGTTGACTGCCCAGAAACTAGCGACCATAGTCTATCGAGTGACAACTTGTTTCTTGACGATAGTCTGTTTAGTTTCGAGAATGTTTCCCTTCCGAACTTCGACATCACCGAATGGTACGATCTCCTAGCAGAAGACGCTATCAATAATTTGGACGAACACAAGCATAAAGACCATTGGAATTATGACTTTGAAAGTCTTTCTACAAGACAAATCCCACAACCTTCCGTTTCTGGAGATCCTTGCCTGATTCTTCATGACAATGGGGATCGCCACATACATGACGGGCCTAATGCTTCAGTTCAGCCTTGGAACAGTCATGCGAGAATCGAACTGAAAGAGGAAGAGTTACAATTTTTCACGCACTACATCGATTTTGTTGCACCTATCTTAGATCTATTCGACCCTCTTGCACATTTCGCCAAGGTGGTGCCTGATCTTGCGTTCTCCAACAGAGGACTCTTGAACTCCTTGCTCGCGGTTGGGGCATGTCATTTGTCTCTTTGGAAACCATGTGAACCTGTCAGCGAAGCAGGTCCTGAGCAAGTACCTAACAGCCCAACAGCCGACTTCTGTGGGCCGTCAAGGACAACTAGGGCTGCCAGCCATTACTATCATGAGACATTGCGGTACCTTTCGCGAAACATCGAACATGCGGATTACAGGCAATCTGACGAGATTTTGGCGACCGCCGTTATGGTATCCACCTATGGCATGTTCGATTCGAAGTCGGACTACAGCAACTGGGATCGCCATCTTCGAAGGGCTTTTTGGATACAGAGGGACTCTGGCGTTAGTGAAGAGTCCCCGAATGGTCTTCAGCGTGCAGTGTGGTGTGCATGGCTGCGACAAGACATTTGGGCAGCGTTTTGCACAGGACGTCCTACACTTACACTTCACCAACCGAATACCCCTTTAGCTTCGCTCTCGCCGGACGCGTTACACCAAAGAATCATCTATTTGACTGCAGAATGTGTGCAATATGCTGCAACGCCGAAGAAAGGCAATATTGTCGGATATATAGAGGCGGGAGAGACGCTGATGAGGATGCTCGATGCTTGGAAACAAATTCTGCCTTTTTCGTTCCAGCCTGTACCCATTGTCGCCTCTACGGAATCGGGGCAAGGATTGCCAGTAGACAAGAATCGGATTCTCCCCGTTTGGATCCATCCACCTGCGAATGCTGCTGCTATGCAGCTATACCATTTCGCTAGGATTCTTACGGTGTTGACACAACCATCGGTAGGGGGATTGAACACGTACCGGGCTCGATCTCGATTACTACGAGAGAGTGCTTCCGCAATATGTGGCATTGCAGTCGCGCAGCAAACACAGAATCTGCCGAATGCCTTTGTTTCGTTTCAAGCAGTTCATGCAGGTAAGCTACATCCTTTGTCTTGACACCAACTGAAGTAACGAGATATAGCTGCCCTTTGTGTTGAAGATACCGAGGCGCAATCTGAAGTGCATAGGATTCTAGGCGAACTACGTAGTACCAGCAAGCATCCACATACGTCAATTCTGAACAGCCTGATTGAAGTATGGGATCGCGTGATCTCAGAGGATGGTCTACCTACATAAGCACGGTTCATTCCTCGGTAACAGACTACAATCAGCTGTAGCTCACTATCGTACTTGTACGACAGGAACAAGTTGACAGAGCTATGAGGCGGACCACCTCTACGGTATTAATTCAATGCATATCGCAATCGTTAGTCAGGCTCAGAAGCAGACATTCGATTCATTTTACTCGATCGACATCTAATCTCGTCGTTGTCATCTACCATAGCTTCCAAGCTCCACGTGCCTCGACAGTGGCGTTCGTAGCATTGCTTGGGCTGCTAGCGATGCGTGCACTAGGGTTGCCGTTGAAAGCCATCAGGTTCACCGAACCTAGGGTATCAGTCACGACACCTGGCGTAGCCAACTCATATACCCTCGCCTTGACCTCAGCAGCAGTGCTGGGCCCCTCGAGAGCACGGAGGTACGAGACTAGGCCGGCTACAGCAGGGGAGGCCATGGAAGTACCCGTTGTGCTCCATTCTGCTGTGTCGCTGCGCCAAGATGCAGAGACGATGTTGGTTCCCACAGCGAAGATGTCGACCTCGGGGCCGTAGTTGGAGCCTCCAGGACCAGAGTGCCGGCTGTAATCAATCTCTGCATTTCCGACGCAGATGACTTCAGGAGATCGGCATGGGGAGGAGTTCTCGGCTGGACTGTTCTCGTTTCCTGCTGCGTTGACAGCAAGGACACCTTTTTCCCAGGCTGCAGTGACAGCAGCGTCCCATAGTGTTGAAGCGGAAGAGCCGAGTGAGATGTTAATGACGGCAGTGTTTTGTCGGCCCTTGGACACGATATCATTAATCGCCCAATCAAAGCCGGCGAAAACATCCGACGCGCTTCCCTGCGCGCCACCAAGAACCTTCACGGCGATAATGTTGGTCTTCTTAGCGACACCGTATTTTGCACCTCCAACGGTTCCAGCTACGTGCCTAGTGTGTGTTAGACCGGACCTAAATCCTGAATAGTAAGCGACTTACGTTCCGTGGCCCTCCTCATCTGTATCAGGACTGCCTGCAACGGCATTGAACCCATGGATCGCTCGTCCCTCGAAATCCACGTGGGTGATACGGACGCCAGTATCTAGATGAAGCTGTCAATACCACGCCAAACACGGCACGGCTTTGCGACTTACCCATTACGTAGGAGAAAGTGCCATCACCTGCACTTTCGTCGTAGACATAGTCAATGGGTTCTGGTGTACGAGACGAGATACCGGCTAGACCCAACGGCGCATTTGGTTGAGTTACAAACTCGCTTATCCTCATGACGAAGTCTGGTTCAATCGTGAGGACCTATACAAGATGTCAGAGCTGCTTTAGCATAGCTGTTGGTGATGCCGCGTGACTAACCTCGGGCAAAGCCTTCAGTTCTTCGATGGTTGCATCGTCGAATGAACCAGCATAGCCTTTGAAGTTACCAAATCCATACTCACGCTCCACCGGAGCGCCACCCGCGCCATCATCACCTCGTCGAGCCAGGTTGCGAGCATGTATGCTGCGCACTTTGTTGTGGTGGGCAGCAATCGACGCAACATCGGTGTCAGGCTTCAACTGGACGATATATTTGCCGGGGATGACCTCGTTCGCACGAGGGGTATCGACGGGAGCAGCATTAGCGACAAAAGGAGCTGCGACAGCGGCGAGCGCAGTGATACGAGTGAGGAACTGCATCGCGACTGGGGATGAAACGAGCGTAAGTTGGAGCAGATATGCCAACCACCAACGGACTATATGCACTTTCTGCCTTGCACCACATCCATCGCGCACACTACGGTACGAGAAATCACTAATCCAAGCATCTCTTGTCCTTTCTTGACTTCTGCCTCTTTGGGTTTAGGGTCCGCAGTTCGATTCGTATAAGAGATGATATGTTAGGGGTAGTTGATGAAAATCTTCCGAGTCATGGACAACCAAGGCGGCAAAGCCAGGGGAGGTTGTGAAAGCAATATGCCGGGAGGAAGCTATCCCTGTTCTGCCGGCTAGCGGTTTCCATTTTGAGTGCAGCTACCGGGCGCGAAGCGATGAAACACGGGAACCGGCGTCGTATTTTGTGGATAGACCCTATCTCGGACTTCATTCCGCAGAATCGGGCCTTGTAAAGCCAATGCCATTGACCTCGAGAACAGAAAAGGCAGGTTCAAGACGATTATATGGTGGCAAAGTCTTCGCAAACATGGTGACAGATAACGAACAGTCTGGGCAATGGAAGATGTTCAAGGATCTGAGATGGCAGACCACTGAGAGCGCTCTCCGGATTCATACGTCACTCCGAGATACTCCAGCCAGCGGTGCATCTCAGGCCGACTGATGTTAGCTCAGCAGACGGCACTCTCAGGAGACCAACTCGAGAAGAGGCTTTCAACTGAGTTATCGAATGTCGTGCTTATTGATGATCGCAACGGAAGAACCCACTGCGCGGGCGGTCCCGAGATCTTGTCCGGCTTGCGGCAGATTTCGGCGCGAATTCGGCATAAACAGCGAAGCTCCCAATGATCTAGCTGTTCACCCAACTTCGAAGAAATTCTCATGGAGGTTTCCTGTGTGCTTTGCAGTCACGTCGTTTAGATGTCGATGAATCGTACGCTGTTTACGCATAATGGAAACGAGACGGGTTAGAGATGAAAAGGAGTAGCGGGAAAGCGGCCCCACTCCGAGGCACGCTAGATGAGTCAGCAGCTCATGGCGTGCGAGAGCGTCTTTCTGCGGCAAACTTCAAGACTGCTAGTTAATATCTACGCGTTGCAGAGCTTTCAGGAAGAAGCTTCATCTGCACGCATGTATCTCGTTAGCATCAAAGCAGATCACACCTGCTCGGTCTCCAGGTCGTTGATTACGCAGGCGCGCGAGACGAGCCAGCACAACGCACAAAGCTCTCCGCTTTTGAAACAGTTCCTATGGACCATGGTTTGTGGTGATGGTTTCCAGTCATCACTCCAGACTGATCATCGTATTGGATACTCATAAAAGTACTAGACGCAACCTATCGAACGACAAACCCACTGCTCGACGCATACGCCTCACAAACAAGCGTGGCAAGATGAGACTCCGCATTCGGGGTTCGGTGATCACCAAACTTCCCGACATTGTAACCAACAACCATTCTGATAAAGTATCAAGGAATGCGATGGATGCAGTTGAGAGCGAAAAACGAGAGGGTTGCGAAGTGTGTCCTTCTCTTATTGTTGCTTTCTCTTCATCTAGTTTGATATCTCCCCATAATCGTATCATCACTCCTTCACCATTCTTTCCCTTTGCTTTTTTCTGTCATCTGCTAGGGTATCGCGCTTTCTAAGTGATTGTGAGGCGGATGCATATCTGCTTATAGCGTCATGCTATTATGGTGAATTTGCTCCTTTGGTATCCAAATAGCTCCTTCACTCTCGAATGCCAAGGCTTATGGCGCAAACGCTGCCACGACAAAAGCCGCCATCACAGAAATCAAACACAAGATCCACTACTCTAGTCGTGTTTTGTAGTTCCTGGACGGCTTCCGAAACGCAAATCGCAACTGCAAGATGGCGCGCGACGAAGAAAAGCGAGTCGGAATGATCAACCCTGCGACTAACGACGATGCCAATATTACCGTCGAACATGGTAAGTACAGTTCTCTTGCCGACGACTACAAATTCTTCGAACGCTCCTGACATATCACGATACAGAAAAACCGACTACACGTACCGCCAACGACGATGACCCTGTCGAGGAGCACGCATCTGCAGGAAACGTTGCATCAAATCCCAAAAATGGCGGCAAGATGACGCTTGCGCCGCAGAACTCATCGAGCATCCCTTTAGATCTGGAAAGGATACATATCCTCCTGACCTACTCTACTCTACTGGCCTTGACGAGGGACGCCTCACGGCCACTCGTCGACCTGAACATGGAATCTCAAGTTCGACAGCTAGATGCATTCCTAGCTGGGGACATCACTGAAGACGGTGTCGCAACACACTGGTCTGCCAGAAGTCAGTGTGCTGAACGACTTTCGCGGTACGAAAAGTTATGCAACGAACTCGTCCCCAATCTGAACGCTGCGATCAAGAAGCAGTCGCAGGTCAACCTAAACACGGAGCCAAAGAATCGCGTTAATGGCGAAAAAAATCCCGAGCACCGATCTTTCTATGAGCTTTTTCTAACACCAAACCTGGTGACCATGTACGGAAAGCTGATTGAGAAAATGAGGAAGAAGGATATGAGCACAAACCCTGATTTTGATCCTTGGACGGACGCGGTGAAGTATGGCAAGCTGATACAGCTTTTCAAAACCATTTACGACCATCAGTACGACTTTACAAATTGGAAGCACACGCGACCCGAGCCGGTCTTCAATCAGACGACTCGCCGGGAAGCCGAGGAATTCATGCGCATAATGGATGATCGTGATCAGATCCGTGTCTATCACTGTGTCGTCACTCCACTCGGGAAGATGTTTTCACAGTTGGACAACATTCCTGAGGTCGCAATCAAGTATAGCGACGAACAACTTACGAAGATGCGGCGCGACAAGACGCGTCCGAAGTATCTGATTCCCGACCCTGCCTTCGTCACGGTTCCCGCCAAGCAAAAAGACATGACCTGGGCGAATCCCGATGGTGTTGGTAAACTCTGGACGCGCGGCAAAGTGAGTTGGCCGACTATTTTCAAGTTTATGGTCTTCGACAAGGCGACAAACGCGTACATCCATGACCATGTCATCGACATTGACGTCTTGGACCAGATCGATCTCAACGACGAGACTTGGGTGAACCGATATCGGAAGAAGATATCTCAGTGGCGCAGCCGTGCAACCGGAGAATCGACAAAAGTTCGCGATCACTGGGATGATGAGGAGCGTGTCTTGGTGTACCAGTTCTCAAACATCTGGGTTATGGAGAATGGTATTGACAAGTTTGTTCCCCGGATATGGGACGGCCAGAAGCACAGTCTCACGGCTGCCGTGAATGAGGCTGGTCGCACGCGCACGGCAGAGTCGGTTTGTGCTTGGGCGAAGAGGCAGATGACCGACAAGCCAAACGAGCCTCTTGGTGTGCTTTACGCTGAAGGCCAGAGAATTGCTACACGTGTCGACGCTGGCAAAACCGTTCCGGACGACGAGCGTTACCCGGATGAAGCAATCGACATCGCTAGCCTCCTCCCCTTTTCAGAGTCTAAGAAGTCTTGCTTGCACCGAAAGCACGACTCGAAGCACAACACCAAGCGCAAGCACTACTCTGACGACGATTGTCCCACCAACTACGGCATCACAAATGATTTTGGTGACTCCAACCTCAATGACGAGTCCGGCCAAGATGGCGATCTAGCGATGGAGACTAGCGACAGCGACCTTGATGACCATGACCCACCACTTTCCTCTCCGATCGAACCCAGCAAGCGACTCAAGGTTATGGACAAGGGCAAGAAGTTTCATAGAAAAGCTAGCGACGAACAGAATGTCACTTTCAGCAAGCCAAAGTCTATTACGAAAGCTCAGATACATGCGCGCACTGCTGAGCATGACGCTCAGGCAGCTGCGTTCGAGGCGAAAAACCGCGAAGACGTCGAAGATTAGTTCGGGATATACTTACAAGAAAGAGAACGACGATTAAGGACTGATCGGAGGAGGGAAGTGACGTCAAGCCGGGTAGGGCGAGCACGCTGCACTCAAGACAGGTGGCAAGCAAATAGTCCCTACAGTAAATGTAGCTGTTCGTTCTTTGCCGCTGAGGGTAGCCACCGCTTTCCCCCCCTGGGGCAATCTAACCGTACCTCATCAGTACCGTTTGGGTATACAGTATGTGGTAGATAGTAAATAGTATGTGTCATGTACAAAATCCACTCTAAGCTGTGTGAGTACCTCGTTCGTGGAGCAAATCAGCGTTTCAGACAATGATAATGTCTGAAAAACCCCGGTCCCGATCTGGTACCATCAAACCATGTTCATCGGATTGCATACCAAGTGAGGCTAGACGACCCTTTCCGTCGACCTTGAGCCATCCTGTTCGACGGTATTTGAGGACATCAAGCCCTGTGAGCGGCTCAAGACAGATGAAGGACACACTAGGAGTTTCCTCCAAATATCCGTCGGACAGGAAGGAACTAAACGCGAAGCAATACATGATCGCACCTTCAACTAGAGCGGTGTCTAGACAGTCGATCTGAACTTCTAAACGAGTTGAAGTGTGAAGCCCAAAGGAGATACATGATCCATGGGGTTCAACGTTGATGAGGATGGGTTTCCAAAGACATGCCCTGATCTTCAGATATCCATCTGTGATTGCGCCTGTAGCATCGGAACACCGAGGCGTTACTTTCACATCGATGATATCGAACAGATACGTCGAATCTAGTCTCGAGAATTCTGGCTCTACAGGCCCATCGATCGAAGCCCACGGCCATGATGGTGCGCGATACTTGAGTGACGTCTTGTGCCTCGGCTCTGCAACATGCCAGTCGAGTCCTTCAAAGAATCGTGATCTCCAAAGCCCAGCGATATACTCGTCTCCTGTAACTTCCTGGAAGAGCTTGGCTATACCAGCAAACGCAGGTAGCTTTTCCTCTACTTTGGTGAACGAGCAATCCGTAAATCTCTTCAGCAGGTCTCGCCACAGGACGTAGATCTCACCAGGCATCTTGAATTCTTCATTTCCCTCGTCGGCCTCTTTACCAGTTTCCCTTTCTCTCTCACGCAATTGCCACAGATAGTCCAGATTTTTGTCGGAGAGATAATACGGAATGCCCTCTGGAAAGCCTTCACACTTTGCTCCTTCACGGCACTCCCATAGGATCTGGTCATTAGCAAAGTAAAGGACACTCGTGGACAAGTGCCTTTCTTGAAATACCCAGCCTCTCTTGTGCAGAGGTCCTCGGGAGATGTTGAGGTTCCAGTAATCCCGCTCGAATATCTGACAAATTTGAGATTCAGAGTGAGTCACTGGCACCCTGATGAGTCCTGGCTTGAACGATTCAGGATTTCTGCTTCTAAACAATCCTTCCGTTTCGTCTGAGGATGCAGATGCTGCGACGGTGCATGCGGAGTTTGCATATACTGAGCGCATCCGCAGTGCCTCGTATTCCCAATCTTTCGGTGAATCTTGCACTATACAGAGTGCGTCGATCCATAAATAAAGGATACGGAACCTGCGTGCGACAGTAACCAAATCCCTGAATGTACACGGCAATTCCATTATTGGCTTCCCCACACGAAAGCTATCCAGTGTACTAGTTAGAAGCAGTAGTTTTGAATGAGCGTCCCACCTGTAACTCAAGGCCAGGTATGGTTGATGAGTTGAATAACAAAGGCTTTCAACTGTGGTTATCAGTCTCCATTCCTTGGAGTCCTCGCATCCAAGATCAAGGAGCCTTGTTGGGTATGAGGCGACTGGCTCTTTCTGAGACTTCCGACATATCGAATGTGTGTCACAACAAGCGATGAGCCAAAGATACGCCTGATCTAAGTTGGATGCGGTTGACGTGCGGGCAGTCAATTCTGCGTCTACAAGTTGTTGATTTTCGTATCCGTCATCTGGATTTATGAGCGGAAGACTAGACGTGCAATTTGGATATCTTCTCACCCGTGGTAGGTACGACCTTGAAGTTTGCTACAGCCACCCCACCAGGATTTGAGCTGTAGCTGGGGTATACTACGTCCAAGCGATAGAAGTTGCGACCCCCAGTATCTTTATAGAACCATTTTTCCATCGGCAGCCATGCCGATATAATCTCATCTTCCGAACGATTATATCGAATTGTTTTCCAGATGCTCCTGCAAATGAAGCATCCTTCTCTGGCTGCATCGATGAACTCCTGAAACTTTTCATGGTGCAGTTGCGGATCTGCGCGTCGATCTGTAATCTAGAGGAACACTTAGCCTTCAAATGCGGAATTTCGCAGATACCTGCCTGGACCTGAAGACAGGCGTAACATAGTCTAGAGAGCTCACTCATCTGACATAGATCCATGCCTTGACATACTCTGCTCGGCTGGCCTATTAATATACAAGGCGATATAACGAGTTTCAGCGCCTACTGTTGAGGATGCCTGAGCAAGGTGCCCAGCCTCACTTATCTCGGCCAATAAGGTCAAACTAAAGTATAAGAATAAGCAAAGGTGTACTACCGTCTGGTCGCCGATCAGTCAGGCTTAGTCAGTCAAGCTACCAATCGGAAACTTGCCTCGTGTTATTCGGAGAACACAACCAGAAAATTGGTAGCCAATGACAGCAGAGTGTTGGTATAGAGATCGCTGAGGCTTTCTTCCAAAACAGCCTCACTACCTAGGCAGTCATGTAGGCTGAGGGCCAGCCACTCACTCCGAGATGTCTCTGGTGGGGGCGAAGAAGAACGTTGGTAGAGCAAATTGTTTACGAGCACGATGGCCACGTCACACTGTCTCGGGGTTGGCTGTCAATAGCTTTAGCCGCCCAAAACCGCTATATTGTTGATTGTATATATTGCAACATGTTCCATTTCCAAGGGTCAAACAAATGCATACAAAGCCATCTTTCTACTGGAATAGGTACACATACCGATCAACTCACTGAGGGAGTAACCGATAATCGATGCTTATTTGATACCACTTGGAGCGTAGACACTATCTACTGGCAACGCTATACTAAACAGATTTGCTGTTCAGTGGACATTAAGTATGAGCTATGGTTGAACTCAAGTTGTTAATTAATGCTAATGCGTCCAGGTTCTCGACACTCCGGCAGCTTATCATGTGCAAATGGGCGCTATACAAATACACGTATAGGGGCTGCGGTCATTCCGTTCGGGAACTAGCGTACTTACTAAGTAGATGGAAATGTAAGAAGGAGTGTGGTAAAGTGCTCTCTAGTCAGGAGGTGGCAAACCCAGGCTCATCAAAACGTGAGGGCAAATGCCCAACATGCGTAGCGCGCGAACAGGCGCGAGAGGATGAAAAGCGTCGGAAGCCGAAGCCGTTGAAGAACCTCAGAAGGGACACCACATACATAACTGGTGGTCTAGTCACTTAGCAATACAATAAACCCTTCGATATTTCTACATTTGCCGTAAGTTGGGTGCAACGGGCCCTTGTCCTGCACGATATCAAGCCTGTGTGCACTAATATGATGTTTTGTTGAGGCCAAAATCTTATCATCGCAAGGCGAAAAAGCTGTTGAAGCGATCCAGTGGTGACGGCAACCAAGCCCAGGATCATGTCAACGTGTCTGCTCTGCCTCGATATCTATCTGATTGAAATCGATGAATATAGCCTGTGCGCAGACTCAATAAGATGAGGCGAGGTTTTGCGTGGTTGGCATAACACCGTAGATCCGTCGCTAGGTGGGGCTGACGGATGCGAGCGTGCAGACGAGACCACTCAATACTATTCGTCAGGTCTTAACTGGCTAAGCCATGTTTTAAAGCCATGCCAGCTCAGGATCGGTCAGTGCAGACGACAATGCGGGGATCGCCGGTCAGCCAGCGCGGCTCGGTAAGGCAGACCCCGCTCGCTGATCCAGGCACCCGTTATGGGTGTTCTTCGAAACACCTTGTGCCACCTAGATCCACTTAGCTTGCTGCAATGCTAGAAACACCGGTTCCCATAGTGAATTGCTAGCAGCTCGATGCAGTCACCACCGTTTACTCTCAAAGCTCACAAAACGTTTTGTATACACTAGATCGCACGCACATATCTTTCTTAACATTAAGCTTCTTGCGAACCTGGAGTCGAAGCTGCCACAATTGCCCCAAAGCGCCAGCCCAAGCTGAGGCAGAGAAGGCTCAAATGTATCAAGTATCGGTGAAGATGGTATGGCCTATATTTCCTTGTTAGCATGTTTTAAGGGGTTCAGTATCAATTGGCAAGATACCCTAGTCATTCTTATGAAGAAACCGAGAGTTTGATCCTACATACCCAAGCTTGAATCCGGCGTTGTCCTTGACAACTATTGTAATAGCGTGTTGTATCGTTGAGACCGCCACATGGAATGCCGAAGATATACAACGGCATCTGATCATTAAAGCCCAAAACTGCTATTTGCGAGGTAATACAGCGAAACTGACGTTCTTTTGACGGTATCTCAATTGGCTCATAGTCTAGTGCTAGGACGTTCTCATCCACAGTATCTACTTACGGTATGGGAAATCCTGGAATAGCCTCAGCCGGGCGTCTGAGATTGTCTGGAATTTCTATCCCAAGCTTAATCGCATCCACCATCGCATAAGCACGTTTGGATAGATCGATAATCGGCTTCTCCCCTACAGGGCCAGGCCGAATGGCATCTCTTACCTTGCTGAGGATATCTTCTGCGCTACGATCAGATACTACACCTTTACGTGCGCATTCGTTCTTGATAAGAAACGTGAAATCCGAACGCGTGTCCTTGTCTATGTCTTCCTGTACAAATCTGTCTACGCCATAATGTGAGCACCATAGATTGATGCAACGCCAGAGAGCATGGTTTTCGGCATCGACCCAGGCTTTCGGATCACCTCCGCTTGAACTCACTTCTTTGGTAGACTGTATGATCGGATATCCTTGGATCCGTGGTGGAATTGGATGTGGGTGCAGTTTCGCCGCTAGTCTCTTGAGGAATTGCCAAAGCTCGCTATGGTTCGCAACATCAAGGTCTCTCGTCTTACCTTCAATCTTCGCACGAACGTTACGATAGGCTGTTAGGTGCTCTGGGGTAACTATTGTGTTCAAAGCTTTCGAACGGTTCCCTCCTTTGATGCAATTGTTTCGTCGCCGATTCAGTCTCATGATAGTAGTCCCTGCCAGTCTTATAGTCTTGACATAGAAGACATATGGATTGATAACCGCCTCGAGACGAAAGTACGCGTTGTATTGTTCTTGGACCCATGTTTCATGCTGCACAACGAATGGCTCTGACGGCAAGTGTGTGGTGGCGTATAGAAGACCGTATTGCAGCTCTATCCACAAGTCCTTATCGTCCAGATCCGCTCTAGAATCTCCAAGTACATGATGCAGTAAGTTTCCTGCTTGATCGGATTGCTCCTCCCGTTGACGGACTTTATAGTAGCAGCAAATTTGCTCGCCTGTAAGACCGTCGTTTAGCTTGGTCATGATATCTCCTGTACTCATGGTTTCGCAGGGACCCATCATGCGACCCAACTCAGCCAAGCACTTTGCCGCATCTTCCATAGACGGCGCGGGCGTAGACCGAAGATAGTTCAGACCGAAGATGTCTTTTGACAATCCTCTCGCCATCCACGCTGCTACAAGTTGTTGGCTCACACGTGGGCGTTGAACTTTAAATCGGGATAGGTTCAAGAAGACGTCTGCTGCTCCATCTTTGGAGGCTTGGTAAGCGTTTACGAGGTCGTTCCACTCCGCTCGGATGTGCCTGTCTTCTACACCGTGTTCGATTAAATCGAGGATATCCGACTCATTCCAGAGCGGATAGTCACCTGAGTTTTTGAGCGAAGAGTAGAGGATGTGTGCGCGTTGGTTACGGATCTCCAAAGACATAAGATTGTAGCGATGATGGTACATCTGCGGTTCAGGAGGGAGCACTAGATCTTATACTTATTGAGATACATGTTGCAATCACGCAATGACACAATCAGGTAGCACGCGGTAGTTCCCATGTGTCTTGACGTTGCTCACGGGTCGCTTCGGCTTGTCGTTCACGTTCCACATGTTTTCATACCCCTGATCTGTGATCCGGTCCATTGTAGCCCGATCACGTCCATTCGGGGTATGATAGGTCTCCGAGCGCTATGGTAGCTCGACAGCAATATGTCTCTAGTACACCATAGCAATATATCCAAGAACTTTGAGATATCGTGTATCCAGTATCTCTAAGCACTATATTGTTTGACATAGAACGCGCCGCCACGAACCCGAATCTCCGTGCTATTCTCGCCGACAAATCGTATCCCCAGACTTGTCAACAATCAAGCCAGCTTGATCGCTATCAAGCTGGCGCATCAAGCTGGCTAATCAATCAAGCCAAGCTGGAGTAGAGGTACAAATCAATCAAGCCAAGCTGCTGTAAGCTAGCTTAAT